TGCCCTATGAAAGCAGACTGTCAGCCCTCGACCTATTTCCCCTTTCCTACAGGTAACTTCGAGGGGACCTCATACTTACCTTCCGTGTTATGAATAACCTGGATTTATGTTTCGTTCCCGACGATTTTTTTGCCCAGGCTTATGCGCCAACTTTGCGCGGGCATTCCCTTAAACTACGCCCCGGCAAAGCAAGAATAGACGGACGAAAATTCTTCTCCAGAAACAGAATAGTTGCGGCGTGGGACGCCCTTCCTGAAGAGGTTGTCCTCTCCACTTGTGTTAATTCATTTAAGAGTAGACTGAACATGCATCAAGCACACACTCACCTACAAACCATGTAAAAAACCACTGCATCACACTATACCGCATATTTTGTTGCTATTTGACTACCTAACAACTACGGTGTCTTCCCGGAGCGTGTAATTGATGTAATTTTTAAATTTTTCTTTGTATCCATTTATTTCCTATCATCGAAGGCGTTCGCCTATCTTTCCCTCAGTAAACTGATACTGATACTGAACATCCGTAAAATGTTGCAGTTCACCAACAACTATTGTTTATCTCACAACCGCACAAAATTTGCCTAAATTCTGAAAATTCCCTCATACAAGTAAAAAAGCGAAGATGTAGTCGCCGAAAAAAGGCTTTTGTTATTTCGACGTTTGGGATTTGCACTCGAATCCATCATCAGAGAACATCTTGAGTGTGAAGGAGAAAATGAAGCGGGGGCGGCGCGGTCTGTTTCTCTGAAAAAATACAAGTCACCACTGTTCTGTTCTAGACAGTCAGACTTCGTCGCTTCCATTTGGTCAAATGTCGGAGGGATTGCCCGCGTGGCCTATCCAGCGTTTCACTGTATGCTTGCCAAAGTCTTATCTGATCACCCACCACCAGGCTATCTCCGAGTTTTTTTTTTCAAGTCTTCCACTTTCTTATTGTTCGTGCAGGCCATCAAGAAGTTTAACATGATCCAACCGAACGACAAAATTCTTGTCTGTGTGTCGGGCGGCAAGGACAGTTTGTCTCTACTGCACTGCATGCACGAGTATCAGCAAGCCTGCAACCGTCGGCCAGAGCTGCCTTCTTTTGAGTTCGGTGCTGTCACCGTGGATCCCGGTAGCTCTGCCTATAACCCACGACCGCTGATAGCCTACATGGCCGAGCTGGGTGTGCCCTACCTCTACGAGGAGCAAGGTCTGTATCAGTCAGTATATTTCGAGTAAATGACAGAGGCCCCTTAAAAACTCCATTAGAACGACACAGGCGTGCGTAAGAAGTAATGAAGTTGCAGATTTGTTATAAGCCGCATTAGTTTGCACAATGCATAAAAATAATGATTAACTATGAATGGTAAAAAGGGCGAGGCATTTGCGTAAAACAACGCACAACACGTTCACTGTATTTACATCATGAAATTTTCATCCAAGTCGACCTAAGTATAAATAAACGGTCTATTGAAATCAAGGGAGTAGAATGTTCTTTGTCATCTGTTAAATCTGTTAGATAAGGTTTTGAACGTTCGCATTGGGTAACCTAACCATTTTCACAGTGGTTTGATGACTTCGTCTGTTTTTCATCATGCATGAAACGTAAGCCGCAAGAGCTGGTTATTTCCGGTGTCTGCTGCCAGCTCTGTAATAGTTCTTGACAGCTAATTCCCCCCACCCCTAATACCCCTTCCTAGACGCCGACATTACCCTCTTGCCTTGAAGTGGCATGAAAACAATGTCTTTTTCCACATATATAATAACTCAATATCTTCTGGTGTGAAGTCTTGATCTATCATTCTTTTGAACGTTTCAGGCATACTTCGCAAGGCGGCCGAACTGGGCGATCAATGTGAAAGTGTTTGCAGTTTCTGTTCGCGGATGAAACGTGGGCGGATTTACGCAGCAGCCCTAAGGAATG